AAAGGAAATGGAGCTCATCTAAACATTTGCCATGGAAATAGAGTGATAGTGATAGATTGGAGAATAAGTCTTTTTACCAAAAGACTGTTCCAATGTTGCTTCTTTGGGATCTAAACATTTGAGGCTGATAGGCAGATTGGAGAATTGGAGAAGTCTTCTTACCAAAAGACTGTTCCAATGTCCTGGCTGTAAAGGACTGAACTGGTGGAACTAAAGAATGGAGCTCATCTAAACATTTGCCATGGAAATAGAGTAGTGATAGGCTTAGGCTTGGGAAAGAGTTGCTTTTTGGGAAAGAGGCTGCAGATTGGAGAATAAGTCTTCTTACCATGGAAAAGACTGTTTAAATGTCCTGGCTGTAAAGGTCTGAACTGGTGGAACTAAAACTAAAGAATGGAGCTCATCTAAACATTTGCCATGGAAATAGAGTAGTGATGCTTCTTTGGGAAAGAAATAGAGATTGGAGAATAAGTCTTTTTACCAAAAGACTGTTTAAATGTCCTGGCTGTAAAGGTCTGAACTGGTGGAACTAAAGAATGGAGCTCATCTAAACATTTGCCATGGAAATAGAGTAGTGATAGGCTTGCAATGTTGCTTCTTTGGGAAAGAGGCTGCAGATTGGAGAATAAGTCTTCTTAGCAAAAGACTGTTCCAATGTCCTGGCTGTAAAGGACTGAACTGGTGGAACTAAAGAATGGAGCTCATCTAAACATTTGCCATGGAAATAGAGTAGTGATAGGCTTGCAATGTTGCTTCTTTGGGAAAGAGGCTGCAGATTGGAGAATAAGTCTTTTTACCAAAAGACTGTTCCAATGTCCTGGCTGTAAAGGTCTGAACTGGTGGAACTAAAAAATGGAGCTCATCTAAACATTTGCCATGGAAATAGAGTAGTGATAGGCTTGTAATGTTGCTTCTTTGGGAAAGAGGCTGCAGATTGGAGAATAAGTCTTCTTACCAAAAAGACTGTTCCAATGTCCTGGCTGTAAAGGTCTGAACTGGTGGAACTAAAGAATGGAGCTCATCTAAACATTTGCCATGGAAATAGAGTAGTGATAGGCTTGCAATGTTGCTTCTTTGGGAAAGAGGCTGCAGATTGGAGAATAAGTCTTTTTACCAAAAGACTGTTCCAATGTCCTGGCTGTAAAGGTCTGAACTGGTGGAACTAAAGAATGGAGCTCATCTAAACATTTGCCATGGAAATAGAGTAGTGATAGGCTTGCAATGTTGCTTCTTTGGGAAAGAGGCTGCAGATTGGAGAATAAGTCTTCTTAGCAAAAGACTGTTCCAATGTCCTGGCTGTAAAGGTCTGAACTGGTGGAACTAAAGAATGGAGCTCATCTAAACATTTGCCATGGAAATAGAGTAGTGATAGGCTTGCAATGTTGCTTCTTTGGGAAAGAGGCTGCAGATTGGAGAATAAGTCTTTTTACCAAAAGACTGTTCCAATGTCCTGGCTGTAAAGGTCTGAACTGGTGGAACTAAAGAATGGAGCTCATCTAAACATTTGCCATGGAAATAGAGTGCAGTGATAGGCTTGCAATGTTGCTTCTTTGGGAAAGAGGCTGCAGATTGGAGAATAAGTCTTCTTACCAAAAGACTGTTCCAATGTCCTGGCTGTAAAAGAATGGTCTGAACTGGTGGAACTAAAAAATGGAGCTCATCTAAACATTTGCCATGGAAATAGAGTAGTGATAGGCTTGCAATGTTGCTTCTTTGGGAAAGAGGCTGCAGATTGGAGAATAAGTCTTCTTACCAAAAGACTGTTCCAATGTCCTGGCTGTAAAGGTCTGAACTGGTGGAACTAAAGAATGGAGCTCATCTAAACATTTGCCATGGAAATAGAGTAGTGATAGGCTTGCAATGTTGCTTCTTTGGGAAAGAGGCTGCAGATTGGAGAATAAGTCTTCTTACCAAAAGACTGTTCCAATGTCCTGGCTGTAAAGGTCTGAACTGGTGGAACTAAAGAATGGAGCTCATCTAAACATTTGCCATGGAAATAGAGTAGTGATAGGCTTGCAATGTTGCTTCTTTGGGAAAGAGGCTGCAGATTGGAGAATAAGTCTTTTACCAAAAGACTGTTCCAATGTCCTGGCTGTAAAGGTCTGAACTGGTGGAACTAAAGAATGGAGCTCATCTAAACATTTGCCATGGAAATAGAGTAGTGATAGGCTTGCAATGTTGCTTCTTTGGGAAAGAGGCTGCAGATTGGAGAATAAGTCTTTTACCAAAAGACTGTTCCAATGTCCTGGCTGTAAAGGTCTGAACTGGTGGAACTAAAGAATGGAGCTCATCTAAACATTTGCCATGGAAATAGAAAAAGAGGCTGCAGATTGGAGAATAAGTCTTCTTACCAAAAGACTGTTCCAATGTCCTGGCTGTAAAAGGTCTGAACTGGTGGAACTAAGAATGGATTTGCCATGGAAATAGAGTAGTGATTGCAATGTGTTGCTTCTTTGGGAAAGAGGCTGCAGATTGGAGAATAAGTCTTTTACCAAAAGACTGTTCCAATGTCCTGGCTGTAAAGGTCTGAACTGGTGGAACTAAAGAATGGAGCTCATCTAAACATTTGCCATGGAAATAGAGTAGTGATAGGCTTGCAATGTTGCTTCTTTTGGGAAAGAGGCTGCAGATTGGAGAATTGGAAAATAACTGGTGGAACTAAAGAATGGAGCTCATCTAAACATTTGCCAAAATAGACTGTGATTCCTTGCAATGTCCTTTGGGGAAAGAGGCTGCAGATTGGAGAATAAGTCTTCTTACAAAAGACTGTTTAAATGTCCTGAAAGGTCTGAACTGGTGGAACTAAAGAATGGAGCTCATCTAAACATTTGCCATGGAAATAGAGTAGTGATAGGCTTGCAATGTTGCTTCTTTGGGAAAGAGGCTGCAGATTGGAGAATAAGTCTTCTTACCAAAAGACTGTTCCAATGTCCTGGCTGTAAAGGTCTGAACTGGTGGAACTAAAGAATGGAGCTCATCTAAACATTTGCCATGGAAATAGAGTAGTGATAGGCTTGCAATGTTTCTTTTTGGGAAAAGAGGCTGCAGATTGGAGAATAAGTCTTCTTTGCCAAAAGACTGTTCCAATGTCCTGGCTGTAAAGGTCTGAACTGGTGGAACTAAAGAATGGAGCTCATCTAAACATTTGCCATGGAAATAGAGTAGTGATAGGCTTGCAATGTTCCTTCTTTGGGAAAGAGGCTGCAGATTGGAGAATAAGTCTTTTTACCAAAAAGACTGTTCCAATGTCCTGGCTGTAAAGGTCTGAACTGGTGGAACTAAAGAATGGAGCTCATCTAAAACATTTGCCATGGAAATAGAGTAGTGATAGGCTTGCAATGTTGCTTCTTTGGGAAAGAGGCTGCAGATTGGAGAATAAGTCTTCTGTTCCAATGTCCAGGCTGTAAAGGTCTGAACTGGTGGAACTAAAGAATGGAGTTCATCTAAACATTTGCCATGGAAATAGAGTAGTGATAGGCTTGCAATGTTGCTTCTTTGGGAAAGAGGCTGCAGATTGGAGAATAAGTCTTTTTACCAAAAGACTGTTCCAATGTCCTGGCTGTAAAAGGTTGAACTGGTGGAACTAAAGAATGGAGTTCATCTAAACATTTGCCATGGAAATAGAGTAGTGATAGGCTTGCAATGTTGCTTCTTTGGGAAAGAGGCTGCAGATTGGAGAATAAGTCTTCTTACCAAAAGACTGTTCCAATGTCCTGGCTGTAAATTCTGAACTGGTGGAACTAAAGAATGGAGCTCATCTAAACATTTGCCATGGAAATAGAGTAGTGATAGGCTTGCAATGTTGCTTCTTTTGGAAAAGAGGCTGCAGATTGGAGAATAAGTCTTCTTACCAAAAGACTGTTCCAATGTCCTGGCTGTAAAGGTCTGAACTGGTGGAACTAAAGAATGGAGTTCATCTAAACATTTGCCATGGAAATAGAGTAGTGATAGGCTTGCAATGTTGCTTCTTTGGGAAAGAGGCTGCAGATTGGAGAATAAGTCTTCTTACCAAAAGACTGTTCCAATGTCCTTGTAAAGGTCTGAACTGGTGGAACTAAAGAATGGAGCTCATCTAAACATTTGCCATGGAAATATAGTAGTGATAGGCCAATGTTTTGTTTCTTTGGGAAAGAGGCTGCAGATTGGAGAATAAGTCTTTTTAAAAGACTGTTCCAATGTCCTGGCTGTAAAGGTAAACTGGTGGAACTAAAGAATGGAGCTCATCTAAACATTTGCCATGGAAATAGAGTAGTGATAGGCTTGCAATGTTGCTTAAAGAGGCTGCAGATTGGAGAATAAGTCTTTTACCAAAAACTGTTTAAATGTCCTGGCTATAAGGTCTGAACTGGTGGAACTAAAGAATGGAGCTCATCTAAACATTTGCCATGGAAATAGAGTAGTGATAGGCTTGCAATGTTGCTTCTTTGGGAAAGAGGCTGCAGATTGGAGAATAAGTCTTCTTAGCAAAAGACTGTTCCAATGTCCTGGCTGTAAAGGTCTGAACTGGTGGAACTAAAGAATGGAGCTCATCTAAACATTTGCCATGGAAATAGAGTAGTGATAGGCTTGCAATGTTGCTTCTTTGGGAAAGAGGCTGCAGATTGGAGAATAAGTCTTTTTACCAAAAGACTGTTTAAATGTCCTGGCTGTAAAGGGTGGAACTAAAGAATGGAGCTCATCTAAACATTTGCCATGGAAATAAAGTAGTGATAGGCTTGCAATGTTGCTTCTTTGGGAAAAGAGGCTGCAGATTGGAGAATAAAACAAAAATACTGTTCATCATGTAAAGGTCTGAACTGGTGGAACTAAAGAATGGATTTTTGCCATTTCAATAGTAAATCTAAGTCTTCTTGCATTATTTAAATGTTCTTTGAAAGAGGCTGCAGATTGGAGAATTGACAAAACATTGTCCTGGCTGTAAAGGTCTGAACTGGTGGAACTAAAGAATGGAGCTCATCTAAACATTTGTTATGTACGATGTCACAATGATTGATTCTTCATTATAACAGAACATCATCATATCCCCACTGCAGTTCCTTTGGCTGCCCTGCAAGTCCAAATTTGGGCCGTTGTGAATTCTGCTTTTTCACAAATCTAAAATTGCCATGTCAAAACTCGATATTTAAAAATAATTGAATTGATATAACAAGTGTAACAGAGAATTGGATCATCCTGATAAAAGACTTCAAGTTCATTGTATGTGGTGCTGTAAGCACCAGGAATTGCATTCTCTTCCACAATTTGCATATGAACAACTAGCAGCATGACCCAGTGTTGCCCGTGCTTCATTCAAAAATTGTACGACTCATACAGCAATCGCTATCACTTGACTTAAAATATTTTTGCCCTTCCTTGCCTTTAAAGGAGTGCCCTTTGCCATACTGATGTTGCTACATGCCTTACTCCTTGCCTATCTCACACTGTGAATTTTTTCTAAGCTCTATACTCTAAACATTAAATCTGTCACGAATAAAGAACTAAACAAAATGAACACAAAACGATCAGCATTAAAAAAGGACTCGTAACTGGAAAAACTGAATGAAAAAAGAATGTTAACAACAAATACTTTTTCACACCCAACCCAGTTCTGTGGAATCAGAATCAACATTGAGTTTAAGCAAGCGAATGAGCCAATTAGAGTAAAGTGCCATGCAGATTTAAATTTTTCCCACTTGTGATGAATGCAGCAATCGATTTTTTTTTTGCATGCTAGCATGCTAGTTAACATTCGTGTCAGTCAGCTGTTGGCTCTCACGCTGGCCAATAGAATCCTCCTGCCAATTCGTGGCAGCCAGCTATTGGCTCTCACTCTGGCCAGTACAAAATGGCCGCAAACTACATGAAAACTGCTGTAGAAGCATGAAAAAATTGATTATTTCCACTATCGATGGGAGTTGGGAAATGCAAAGTTGGTCTTGGCCTTCCTGCTAACTTGGAGCATGTGCATGTAAATTTTGTTGCAAATCCGTCGAAAATTGCGGCCGTGCATTCATTACACACACATCCTGCCTTTTATAGATAGAAATACTAGGCAGTTATTAGCCAATAGTCTGTCAGAGTTAACTCCTACTTAATTTCCTGACTGTTCACTAGGGCACACTCTCCCAATACTATAAATACTGGATGATTTATTGCCTCGCTCTCTTTTTACTTTGCATTTCAGCGGACACATTTACAAAATGTGATCTCTCGCAGAGATTTGCATTTTTGCCCACTTGAGGGAAAACACCATGAAACACACATACACGTACATACTAACATTCACCAAAATATAAACTCTTTACATTCACACACAAAAACAAATGCTAATGTCTATGTCCATTGTAAATTTTGTTGTTTAATACATATACTTGTTGTGTATATATATATATATATAGATAGATATAGATAGATGCATGTTACATTAAATAATATAGACAAGTTTTGTTATTTTAAGTAAGTTCCTTTCACATTGTCTGATAAGCTTAATAACATTATCATTGAAAGACAAAAGGAAATCACCAAATTGATACATGTTTAAATTCAATCTAAGCTTTCAGCTTACATAAGCCATTATCAAAGATGACAATTACTTTTCAATATATCAACCAATACATGGACGAAACAATAATGATAGTCTGTTTTTGTTGCATGAAAAATTTCACACTCTTTAGGTGTCCTCAAGGACACATGGCACAGTGAATAAAGGCATTGGTTAGATCCAGTGACAGGACCCAAAGATACCCAGTTAAGGCAGTGGAAAACTTGGAGAGGGGAATTAACAGGAGATAACTGATAACTGATATCCATTAAACATGGCACGTGGAATCAGAACAGTCTACCCCAGTGAGCGAAATAAAGGGTTAAGTTTGACATTCCAGCCACCTGAAGAAGGCCGGAGCATACAACGGCCGAAACGTTGTCAAATATGACGACAAAGATGAGGATAATAATCCGAATAATGTAAATAGAATTCACAGATGAATCAGCAATCTTATTTGTCCTGACCTGGCATCTCAACTTGTCATTTTTCCAATCACTATTATGTAGCTTCCCTGTGCCTTTTCTATAAATACTTTCATAGTGATTGTTTGGAGTGCAGTACTAGATTAGCAAATAGGTCTCAACAGTTTACAGTTGAAATGGCTAGATGTAACCCTAAGTTCTATGCTAACAGTTTCTTTTCTCACACTTCTCATTTGTGGAACTCTCTTCAGGCTTCTTGCTTTCAAGCCAACTTTGATCTTCAAAAATTTAAATGCAATGTCAATCATTATCTACTGTCTTCCTGATCACTCTTCTGTTGTTCTCGCTCCTTAATAATGTTGCTGTTTTTAATTCTACTACACCCAGTAAATCCTTGTAGCTTTACTGCCTTACTTGGGGGTGAATTTGATTAATAAAAAAACAAGAAAAGAAACAGATCCACACAACTGTAGAAGAACCAGTTGGGGAAAACAAAAGACTAATGTTATTGATTGGTAGATTCAGAAGGTTTTGACTAATATCAGAACAATATTCTACTAATTATGTTTAAATAAGACTGGCAGGGACTTTTACTATCAATTAAAAAAGTCAAAATATGAATTTACTTTGATTTTTCAAGATTTATTCAGAGAATTTGTCTCAAATCCATTCTTCAGCATTGTTCAGGTAGGAAAATACCTGAGATAATTTTTACAAGAGTTATTATTATTCCAAGACTTTTTGGACATTGAGAAAAAATAAGAAAGAAACAGAAATGAAAAAAGAAAAAGAGAGTGAAAACAAAAGAAAAATAAGAAAACAAGATAAGGAAAAGAAAGGGAAAAAAAGGGGAAACTAGTAAAAAGGAATAAAGAAAGACAGGAGAACAATAAAAGCAAAAAAAGGAAAGAAAAAGATGAAAAAATAAAGATAGGAAAATAAGGCAAGAAAAAAGAAAAAAATGAAGAAAAGACAGGAAAACAAGGCAAGAAAAAAGATAAGAAAAAAGAAAGAAAGAAAAAGATGAAATTGAAGAAAAGACAGGAAAAAAGCCAAGTTAAAAAAAAAGGGAAAAAAGAAAGAAGACAGTAAAACAAGGCAAGTAAAAAAAGAAAGGAAAAGAAAAGGAAGAAAAATGAAGAAAAGAAAAAAGACAGGAAAACAAAGCAAAAAAAAAGAAAAATAAAGAAAAAAACACAGGAAAACAAGGCAAGTAAATAAAAAGGAAAGATAAAAAAGAAAAAAGTGAAGAAAGCACAGAAAAGCCAGGAAAAAAGAAAGAAAAAGGAAGAAAAGACAGAAAAACAAGGTAAGAAAAAAGCAAGGCAAAAAGAAAGGAAAAACAAAAGAAAGGAAAAAGAAAAGAAAAAGGAAGAAAAAAGAAAAGAAAAAGGAAGAAAAAAGAAAAGAAAAAGGAAGAACAGATAGAAAAAAGGCAAGAATAAAGCAATGAAAAAGTAAAAGAATAAAATAAAAAAGGAAAGAAAAGAAAAAGGAAATAAAGAAAGATCTGAAAATCTTCAAGTAAATAGTGAAAAAAAAATGCAAGAAAAGAAGCAAAGTTGACTATTCCAAGAAAATGCCAATTCCAAAAAGAAACTATCAAGAAAGTCAAATGTACCAAACTAAGATATCCTTAGAAGCTAGGTGAGAATAAAATTTCTTTCAGAACCCAATTTTCCTTATCTTCACAGGAAATTGGGTCCATTAAAGCCATCCTGATGCTCTTCTAACAGAAAGGATTCAAGGTCAGCACCTTGAAATGAACGATGCTTTCTAGCCTAGAATACCAAGATCTTTGTGAACAGTTCCTTATTATAAGGAATCACGTAAGCAGAGTTCTTTGAAGCGAACAAAGTGAAGAAGAGAAGAAACCACCTAAAAAAAAAAAAAAAAAAAAAAACTTAAAAAGATTAAAGAAAACTCTTGCTGAGGAAGACAGCATCTCATGTGTTACATGTTTCTGAAGTTGGAAGACATGATTAAACCAGAGAATGTATAACTTGAGAAATTTACTTGCATTCAAGAGCACTTTAATGACAAGTAGAATTTAATGACTCTGAAACAAAAATATTATCAAAATACAATAGTCTGAATAATGTAAATAGTTTACATAATAGCTCATCTCAGAAATATAGACAGATACTGAAAAATACTATCACTATTCATTTTTCACTTTTAGCACTACTTGGGTTAAACAAACAATATAGTGTGGATAATTGAATGAGAAAAGAGTGAATAATAGGATTGTTACATTTATATTCTCCTAACCACAAAGAATTTATACAATGAAATTTTCAGATCAAAATTCAGCTATGTACTAATTGAAACACCCAAATATTCTGATGGTAAGAAACTGATGGGGGTCATTAATGCTTAAATCTTATCACAATGATATAACTTCTGATTTTTTTATAGTACAAGGTGTTCTCAAGTTAAGTACTGGCCAAACTAAATGCTGCTTTAAATTCAGTGATCAAAAAGGAACAGGTGTGTTAGCATGATGTTCTTATTAAGTCTGGGTAATTTTTATATATGGACAAAACAACTTACTCACTACAAAGATGCATTCTTGTTTCAATGCACATGCATCTCGATTAGTGAGAACGAAAAATGGTTATGAACAATTCTATTTATAAGTAAGCTGCTTATGGAATGTCACTTCCTTTTTCTCATTACTCAAATCTTTTTTGGAAAAAAAAAACATAAGGAGAAACACCTTGAATATTGAGCCCTGTTTTGAATTAATGCTATTACCATTAGAATTTATATTATTTCCATTCTCATTACATTCATATATATATATATATATATATATATATATATATATATATATATATATATATAAGTATGACCAGTTTGTGACTGGTAGAGATAATTCTAAGGAGGATATTAATCTAGGGAGAGCTCAATGTAGATGACATAGCATAATAATAAAAATAAAAATAATAATAATAATAAAAAAAAAACCTTGAATATTCATTTCAATTATAATTTTTTTCCTGAATACTGAAATATTCATCGCTTCATATCGAAAATCTCCTTAGTAAATAGAGACAATACACTGGATGGATATATTAAATTGATAGGGGAGGAGGGAAAGCAAGAGAGAAGAGATGAGATAGGGAGAAAAGAAAGGGTTAAGGAGGTAATGGCTGAGTAGTAGTCAGCTTAAACCGGCTGACCCATCCAATAAATTTTCCTTTAAAGTTTGGAACTTTGTACATTAGATTATACAGCCAAATTGTTGTTTTACTAGATTCCAAATGGCCTAATGAAAGAGTCCTTAATACAAATAATAAGTAGTTTTAATAATACCTAAATGACCAACTGAAATTTCAATATACTGACAATTCCAAAAGTTAATAATTAGTTCAATGTAAATTAATGAATGGATAGTAGTAAGCCTTAACAGACTAACCCATACAAATAAGTTTGGAACTTTGTATATTTACAATAATTGCAACCATTTAGTTCAATGATAATAAACATTACAATAATTGCAACATTGTGATAAACATGGCAACAAACAACATGCCTGGCTGCATACACAATTCTGTAAAATACTTGTTGAAAACACAACTATACTTAAATATGAAAACAATAAACAAACTGTTGTAGTAAAGAAAAGACTGTCAACTGATAGTAGTAACTGCAATAGATTTCTTCTGTTTCTCAACCGAAACATATGTAGCCAAATTGCAGTTCAAATGATAGTCCATCGTAACAGTCCAACAAACAAAGTAGAAACGTCAAAATGGTGTCACATGTCCAACCTTCTCACGAGCACAAATGCGTGTTCCACCGGCAGCTCAGAAAATCTTCTGCCTTTATAAGTGAAAAACAACGGCTTTGATTCATCAAGAGATTTTTCTAATTGGTCACGCCATTCAGGAGAACATTAGCATAGATTATAGTCATTGAAGTAGATTTTTGCTAACTACTTTTTGTAATTTTTCTTCAGCAGATCGCACACAGAACACAAACTTTTTTCGGGGTAAATGATTATCTCTTTCACTACACAAACACTAAAAATTCTTGAAGCTATATACATAAAACAGTTGAAACCTAACCTGAACAAAATAAACTACAAAATCTCCACAAATATTCTTAAATGCCTAGAATTGATAACAGAAGCCATTGGTTTATACCAATGGCGTCCCATACTTAATACTTACCATTTTTCACTCTCACGTGGTAATGTGTGACGTCATGAGCTACAGTACAATTTTCACTTCTAGTGTCTTGTATGCACGATTTTATCATTGCTTAGAAATTTTCCATGTACACAAAAAACAGATTATCATTATTGTTTTGTCCATGTATTGATTAATATATTGTAATGTAATTGTCATCTTTGATAATGGCTTATGTAAGCTTTCAGCTTACATAGGAGTAAAAAAACATGTATCAATATGGTGATTTTCTTTCGTCTTTTAATGATAATGTTATTAAGCTTATCAGACAATGTGAAAAGAATTTACATAAAATAAATAGACAAAACTTGCTTATATTATTTAATGAAACATGCATCAATGAAAAAATGCTACCTAAATACACACAATATATATATATATATATATATATATACTCAACTCTCCCATTGAATTAGACATATGAGAATCAACAGCTCAGTTCTTAGGGACTGAAAGCTCTACACCAGCACATGAGACTTGATTATAGTGGTGAAGGTTTTGTGCAGAACCATCCACACTTTTTCAAGGGTCAAATACAGAGACCTGGTGCACTACATGCCACGAAGTTCCCAAACAACCCTCCGCAGATTTTAAATTCAGAGTTGTCCTTCTCCTAGACCAGTTGCCATCAAAGGCTATAGAAGCCAGTCTGTCCTGGTATTTATCCATAGCTGGAGGGAGAAGAAGAGGATTCATACCTTTCCCAAGGGTATTAGCATGTAAGTGAATGTAATGGATTCAACTTGAATTTGAACTTGGCTCTCTGATTTTTCAATCAAAGCTGTTATCCATTACTCCACCATGCCTGCCCCACCCTCCCTCTCTCTCTCTATATATATATATATATATATATATATATATATATATATATATATATATATATATATATATATATATATATATATATATATATATATATATATGTGTGTGTGTGTGTGTGTAATTAAAAAATTCTAACATAAATATGTTATAAAATCACTACAAAAATAGCCATTTTGTTTCAACACCCCGTGTCTTATCAAGTGATGATGTTAAATGTAAAATAAAACCTATATATATATATATATATATATATATATATATATATATATATATATGGTATCAATAAAGTTACTATATTGCAAGGGGAAGAATGAGTAACCTTGAAAAATACCTCTTTTTTTCATTATTATTATTATATAACAGTTGGTAACTTTCTGGTGGGACCTTGTATATTTGTTTTTATAAGAAATAAAATAAAATATAAAAAAATATATAATATTATAAAAAATATAAAAAAAAGAATTCATTTAAAATAAGATATTCGCCTTCATTTAAAAGTCAATATTCATTCTCTCTCTCTCTCTCTCTACCCTTCTTTCTCTCTCTCTACCATTCTCTCTCTCTACCCTTCTCTCTCTTTCTGTCAACTAATGAGATGACAACTCTCATATAAAAAGTGGAAGAAGAAAAGACTGAACAATGCTGCAAAACGAAATTTTGTTAGTTCAGGGTTTAGTTATTTTGACTAGAAATCTACCAAAGTAAAAGCGGCTCCATGCGCAAGTTCTGCTATAAAAAAAAAAAGAAAAAGAAAAAGAAATGAATGCTGGAAAATAAATAAAAGAATATTGGCCAATCAAAAGAACAAAGCAACTTTTGATGTTAGGTGAAACCAAGCTTCATGCCATATAGTTTAGAGCCTTTCTTAAGTGTATATAAAGTGACAAGCAACAGAGAGCAGTAGAAAGTAGTTTAGAGCCTTTCTTAAGTGTAGATAAAGAGACAAGCGACAGACAGCAGTAGAAAAGAATTAACCAGAGAAACCAGCTAAGCATGTTGCATGAAGAAACTGAGCAGTCATCTGTTTAAGCCATTTTTCTGCCTTTCATGAGGGCCAAGAAAAGAACATTTGGCATCCAAAACACATTTCCAAAGTAACCACACACTCAACTACTACCAAAGTTTGACTATCAACTACCCAGCCAAACAAACTTTTGCCAACCCAAATTACAAAGCAATCACTCCAATCACAATCAATTAGACATATATTATGTGTTTATAACTTTGATTCTGTTCATTTATTCCAAAGTTTCAGAGAAATATTGGGAAGACACTCTGCCACATCTCAGATATCTGTGTTTGGATATAGATGTGTGAATGTCTGTTTATCACTGCCATCATGCCCATATAAAATTTATAAGAATTCCTTATAGATCCTTTTTTCACATAAATATATAATAACATCCAAAGACAGGAAAGCTTTCTCGGAACTGACACCCAATTAATATCTCTCTCTCTCTCTCTCTCTCTCTCTCTCTCTCTCTCTCTCTCTCTCTCTCTCTCTCTCTCTCTCTGACTGGTGATTTAAGAAAAAAAATTGATGCCACTGAATAAATTTTTAACATCCTTTTAGCTTTGCCCATAATTGCGATAATCACTCAAACATTTACAAAACTGTTATATGCATAAATTTGTTATATAATATTGTTATATAATATTGTTATACAGGGTGCAATGAATATATTGTCAT